AAAATTTGGGGGAAACGGAGTAGTACAAAACAGGAAAAAAATCACTGAGACAAGGCACTTAAAGACATCTATTCTTTTCTTTTTTCTTTTTACAATGCTGGTGATGAAATTTAGGGCCTCATGCATATGAGGCAAGCACTCTACCATTGAGCAATGTCCCTGGCTCTAGTCTTTATATTTTGGATGTGTCTTTCAAGTCTTTTTTGTCTTCTATTTCCTTCTTCTTTCTCTTTTTCTCCTCCTCCTCCTGCTTTTTTGTCTTCTATCTTCTTTTTTATGTAATAAAAAAACAACAACAACTTGAGGGCTGGGTATTTAGCTCAGTGGTTCTGCTGCCTGTCTCGAAAGCGCAAGGTCCTGAGTTCGATCCCCAGTAACAAACAAAACAAAAAATAAATAACTAAATAAGGCTGGGCTGGGAATGTAGCTCAGCGCAAAGGCCCTGGATTCGATCGTAGGTCTGGGGCCAGGGATTTAGCTCAGTGGTGGCGCCACCTGCCTTGAAAGTGCAAGGTCCTGAGTTTGTTCCCCGGTACAAACAAAAAACAAAAAAAGAATTTGTGTGGGATTTTTGCTCAGCGATACAGTGTGTACTCACCATGCATAAAGTCCTGGGTTTCATCCCTGGCACTATCAACACCACCACCACCACCACCACAACAACAACAAACTCACCACTCTAAGTAAATGGTGTATTTCTACAACTTGTTACATTACATATTGTAAGTAAGCACTGATTTTGTTTTCTTCTTCATAATATAACATGTAGCTCTCTTAATTTTGGTAATTTGAAAACCTAAGCATTACTATAACAACAGTATGTATTGATAGCATTACTTATTTAAAAATGCAATTCTCTCAGGAGGCTGAGGCAAGAGAATTACTGTTAGTTCAAGGCCAGCCTGAACTACATAGCAAGACCCCGTCTCAACAACAAACAAATAAACAAACTACAATTTTCTTGATATTCCTCCAAATCCCAATCAGAGTTATTGTATCATAGCTATCTTTCTGAATAACTGTTTTTTCCTTCAGTGAAGTCCACTGAGGTTTTTTATGTCACCTTATGTATAAACAGGGCTTCTAATGGACTAAATTTTTTATTTCCTTTTAGTAACTCTTTTTGAAAGATTAGAAGATTTGGGCTGGAGATTTAGCTCAGTGGTTCCGTCATCTGCCTCGCAAGTGCAAGGTCCAGAGTTTGATCCCCAGTATGAAAAAAATAAAAGAATGAATGAAAGAAAGAAAGATTAGAAGACTTGTAGAGTTGAACATCTTAATTATAAAATTATAAATTTATTCCGATTTGAATAAATAAATATTTGGGGTCTTGGTTTTGTTACTGTTGAGTGGTAAGAATTATTTGCAGCCTGGAGATTTAGCTCAGTGGTGCCACCACCTGCCACACAAACACAGGGTCCCGAGTTTGATCCCTGGTACAAAAAATTATATATATTGTATATTAGGGATACCAATCATTTTTCAGATATGTATATTGCAAAGATTTTCTCCCAGTCTGCATCGTGTCTTTCCATTCTTTATTCCTTTTTTTTTTCTTTTTTTTTGAGACAGGGTCTCACCATGTAGTTGAGACTGACCTGGAACTCACTATGTAGCCCAGGTTGCTCTCGAACTCTCAGCAATCCTCCTGCCTCAGCCTCCCAAGAGCTGGGATTATAGGGGTGCACCAACATGCCCAGCTCTCCATTCTTTTAATTGTGTGTGTGTATGTTGTTGGGGATTGAACCCCAAACCAGGCTTTCTCTGCATTCTCTGAACAGTGTCTTTATTTTTTCTTTTTATTGAGTTTATTGGTACAATCTAGTTTCATTCATTATTGGGATCCTGTACCTTTAGATGACAAGTCTTAGTTCTCATTTTTTCCCTTTGTCCCTGCCCTCCCTTCTCCCTCTCCCCCCTCCCCATTTGCAAACACTTTATTTCCATTTTTTCATTTTCTCCTACTTTTTTCTTTTCCCTTATTCCCTTTCCCCTACCCTTCCCACTTTCCCTACACTTTTAGCCGTTTTCTTCCTATTTCACACTATTAATTATCCCATTAGGATCTTGTGTACTATTATAGTTTTTCACACCAGAGAGACTATTTGGTATTTACACATGTGTGACTTATTTATTTCACTTAAGAGTATATCCTCAATATGTATCCATTTTCCTATGAATGACTCTAATTTCTCATTCTTTATGACTGAGTAGTATTCCATTTTATAGAAAAACCATATCTTCATCCAGTCTCCAGCT